TCAAAGTTTCGCAAATAATTCATAAATTACTACTTCCAGTTATTTTCCAAACTTGAATGTCAATGAATAATTTGACCTCACTAAAATTTCTTGAGACACAGAAGTAAATTATGTACCGTAGTTTTTAAAAGTAAACAATGTATTTTTGTAAAGATAGAAAAAGTGTTATACAGAATTCCCCAAAAAGCCGTAATAATTTTTTCAATGGAACTGCCTATATATTACACAATGTTTGGATTATGTGAGGAATTTGAAATATTTATCATTAAGCATACCGCAGGTCTATCTTCAATTGTTTTTAAATCATCGACATTTGATAAATAACAGTGTTGGTACTCTAAATCCTCATAACCCCTCAACAATCTTATTGTTAGAGCAAAATAAAAATGCCATAAAACGAAGTATGTATCATTACTTTTGTTTCACTCATTATTATAGGTGAAAGCTTATCAAAAACTAGACCGGATGTTATTCTGCTCGAAGCCAAACTGTTCAGGCGTTGTGAGGATTCAAAGTGCCCAGAAATATCACCTTTCAAATGCCCTTAATTCAAAAAGAATTCAAATAGACCAACAGTATGTTCCAAAAAGTATGTAAAATCTGTCACGAAATCAAACAAAAAAAACCTAACATAGTTGTATCCCAGTTTCTTGCGAAACCTTGTTATATGTCCGCTATTTTTATAAAAATACGCTATTTTCCTTGCAATTGGTAAAAAATGTAAATTTGTATTTCAAACAATGAAAAAAGAGACGTGCACAATTTCTAATCAGTAACCCTGTACAGTCAACGGCTACTTACAATAACTCGGTTTTATTTATGAAAAAACTTATTCAGAACTTACTTTGAATGCACAAATCTTGTTCGTTGTGGTTCCAAGTCGTTCATATTTAGGAACTTTCAGGAAATCAATGCAACTCCTGTCCTTTATATTGAGTGCATTCAACATAATTTTTGTTTTTCTGTCCATATTATCTGAAATTACCAAAGCAATGAATACAGCTAGAATCAATAAAATTGGAAGAGTAGTTTGACACGTTGTTATTTGATTGGGATTTTCTTTAGTCAAAAAAGTTTTTAATCTCTGTTTGGCCAGTTCTATAGTATTCTATAGTATTTATCTTCCATTAGCATATTTTTAAGGAGACATTATGAAACATTGCATTCAAACTGACGGCACGACTTCTAAATATCGCTCAATCGGTCGAAAAAATATTTATAATTGGGGATGTATGTGATCAATAAGACCGAGCATTACACTTTTTAATACCTGAGAAGTGAAATTTAGTATCCTGATGATCAATTAGCTTTCGTGCAGCATTTTGTTTTAATGTTAGGAACATTTTTCAGTCTAATTAATGACATACCCAGAAAATTAATTATTGACTTCCTATCCTTTACTGAATAAACCAAGAATGAATTGGTACTGTCAATGTCAAAGTGAATATCTTCAAAGTACTGAAAAATTCTCTGTATTTATCCATTTTAAAGTTATTATGAGTTTACCAATCATCAACTAAAGTGGTTCGGATGTTAGTTCGAACACATTAAGAGTGCTATTGAGGAAACCGACAGTGCCCGCCATGAAGCCTCGCAAAGCTCCCCGACACTGACAAGCTCCATGGATCAAGTGTCAAAAACAGGGCCATTGATGTTGAAAACCCTTCATAACTATACCTGAAGGTACCGCTTAGGCCGTAGACCCAAACGGCAATGTCTCACTAGCAAGAAAGTCAAAGAAAAAACGATTCAAGAAAATATACACGGAACCTTTAGCATTGTGACAATCATAGTTTCAGTTGTCACTTTAACAGGTATATCTCTCCTTTGTACACTATTTCCTCAAGATATAAATACTATGACGAATTGGACGAAGCATAATGTTGAGGTAGCCACTAAGACAAATAAGAACACACCAGAGGTTATAATTGGAACCTCTGAGATAATAGAAATTGTTGAGAAAGAATGTGAACACCCACGAGAATGCTGTGAAAAAAAGGTACTTGTCCAGCAGAGGGCGAAGCACCAGATTCAGATACACGCCATGATGGATTCGAACTTTTCCCAGATAAAAAGAGGAAATGATCTGCGAGGAAGGCAAGATTAAGTTGATGCTGAAGAAAGCTAAAATAAAAGTGCACTCTTCTGATCTTGATAGGTGGTAGACGGTCATTGATCGTCGTCGTTGAGGCACCACCCTCGGTTCTCTTAGGTGGGGCCTGAATGTGTACGCATGCTCCCTCATTAGAGTACGTGTGACGTTTCCCCTTTCCACTGTAGTCTCACGGCACCCACGGTGATTAGGCCTTAGGCCTGCGTAATGACATGTATAAATAGCCGGTTAGAAAACACTTTTTTAATATTTAATCATATGATTATTTATAATATAAATAAATATATTAAAGTATAAGTGTATATTGAGGTCTTTAGAACGTTTGTGTTTTATTTTTGTAAATTGTTTCTAAACCGTAAGAAAATATATTAAATTTTATAGCTGAAAAATCTGCCGCGAAACGGCAAAACGTTCCAACAAAATGAGGTTAGTTTCATTATCTGAATGTTAATCCCAGAAAAGTAACAGAAATATTGAGAATATTTGTTAGGAATTTCACTAATATTAATTACATATACAATAAATAAATATTTTCATACTTACCCACAATAAAACCTTGAAACCGATTGAGAAACAATTAATTAGCACATGTTCGAAAGGAAACCCGAAATAGGAAATAGAACTAAATGGAACACTGCATCATAAGACACAGCGAGTTTAGGATGGACGCTTGGAAATCGATAGGCTAAAAGTATAATATACCCACAATCAAATCTTAAAAACGAATGCAGAACAAATAATGCCAGTCGGTTATTAGCAGGTGGTCGGAAAGAAACCTAAAAATAGAATTAAAGGGAATGCTGTGTTGTCAATATTTGAAATTTAGGGTGGACGCTTAGAAATCGACAGGTTAAAAGTATAATATACTTGCCAAAATATTCAACAGTCGTATCACGCGCCTCTATAGGCGAAAGCGTTCAACTTATAATATACCACTACTATATAAAAAAGCAGGTTGTGGTATTATCCGGGCGCCCGTACAAAATTTTAATGGACGATTCTAAACACACTTTGGATACAAAATCTATGGGAAATCAACCGGGCGTCCGTATACGGACGCTCGGTTGAAGTCGGACGCTTGCAAGATAGCAAATCGGCAATGTATGGACGCCACGGAGTTAGTGGGATGAATATATATATGTATATAAAAAAAAAAAATATATATATATGTCAAACATATATATATATATATATATATATCTCAATTAGGGTTAGAGTTAGGTATATAACTGTATATATAAAATGTATTTAAAATCTCGCGTAGATTTTAAAAAATTGATAATATATAGGATGTTCCATTTAAAATAAGCATGTTGGTATATACTTCCGGTACAACTGGAAGTGCCACCATTCTGAAAATATTTTGGCCGAATTCGTTATATAAGTTACATCATTACCTCAAGTTTTCATAATTATCTAACGTCAACTTTCCGACTAATCGATCGCTGCAGTTCTGCCTAGGTTCTAAATGAGATTTTAATAAATTTTAACATAATTACGAAATTCATTTTATCACATACCCTTTTTTTTTAGTAGTAACAGGCGGAAAACCAACATCAAAGTACTCTTAACTTTTCCGTAAAACACTAAACATGTTATCTTTTAAACAATTTGTTTTTTTGTTTTCTGAGGTTGAATTATGAGTGTTTTTGGGAAGACTGTTGGATACATACTTTTTTATGGCTCATTTAGCAACTATGTTGTAGTGTGCTTTGTTTGAATCGATGTTATTTTTTCTAATTTTCGATTGGGAGTTTTACAGCACCGCCGTGTAAAGTTCGTACAGGGTGAAGTGAATTCGTGAAAAGATTGCAGCATTGTGGAAATTTTTATATTTTTATAATTGAAAGTTCCATTTTTTGTTTCTGCTTAATATTGTAGCGTTAAAGATGTACAAAATTCGATAAATGTTATATTTAGATCAATAAATTTTTTTTTTATAATTAGTACAATTACATTACTTGATGAGTGCGTATCACTTTGTATGCTTGTTAAGAATTATTTGTTACACTTCTATTAGAGAGTATCAATAAACATTATCAAAATGATAACGTTTCATTTATTCTGAAATAACCCCGTGGGCTAACATTAAAAATACTAATGTAAGATCTGACACATACTGTGGTTTTCATGCTGATAAATCACCACATTTTCTGGCAATTGAATGGAGCCACATATGCAAAATTAACTTGTTGCTAACGTTTCAGCATTAGTAATACTCACAAACGCAACTATTCCAATCTACAGTAAATACTCGTAGAAAGGAAGTTGTGGAAAAAGGAACTTCTATCCATGCCATAAGCTACTGGTAAAGCGACGGCTCTAAAACTGAAGACGGAATTGGAGCCGGGATTTATGGGAGTATGCCAAAAACCAAGATCTCTAGAAGTGCAGGTAACATAGCAACAATATTTCAGGCTGAGGTAACAGCCATACAAGGCTGTGCAAAGAGCTAAAACCATAACAAATTGGCTAAGAAAAAGTCGCTAGAATGATGGAACAGCCAGTCAAGGCAAAGACAGGCAAAATAATTCATTGAACAACGAAAACCTGGGCCTACTCAGATTTAATAGGAAGGCCATGGGGGCCATAGTGGGTCTCCTAATTTGGAGTAAATAATAAAAATTAAGGTATTAACAAACAAAAATCAGTTATAGTAAAAAAAGCGTGGGGTGCAATTAACTATATTTTCATGACTTCAATTTTGTAAAAAGCATCTAAAAATTATAACATTTGATATCAAACACCACACGCTTTTTTACTATAATTGATTTTTTTAATATCTTAATTTTTGAAGATCAATTACCAGAGTCGACCACTGCAAACAGTAAGGTGCTTGTTGTCCCCAGTTCGCATTGTCGGCCGCTAGATGCCGCCGATTCTGGTGCTATAGTAGATAGGGTCAAACAATACAGTTACCAGTATTCTGCTGCGGTGGCTGGACGATACCTTGATGGCTGAAATGCTACCTGCAATTTAGGTGCGATCATTTATTCTTTACCTAATAGTCGAGTAAGTATCTTCACATCTGGTTGTAAAAATATTCTGATTAAAAACAATGTTTGACGCAATTTTGTCTGACAACATGTAGATTATTTAAAAGGGACCCTTTTTTAATGAGATTATGCAAAAAAATAATCAAGAGATCATGGGTAATAGAAAAAATCTTGACGTTGGGTCCTTGACTCCATAACCGTAATGGAGGTTAATGACATTTTAATACAAGGTCACTATTATGCCAAGAACAAAAAAATAATTCCTAGCGAATATGAATGTACTAACTGCATATGTTTCTGCAAGTGGTAATATGCTTTTATAAACTACAATTTCATACAAAAAAGGTCTGAAAATATGAACAACATTAAAGGTTTTTTTTATTACTTCAGCATTCTTTACACCCATTTTAAAATTCGTAGTATGCGGTATATTCCGAGTTTTGATAAAATCGGCATAGTGATTTACTGATATTACGTTACGACAAAAAAGACAGAATGACAGGCGGAGGATCGCCAATCAGTGAGGAAGAGGCTTGAAACTATTTTTGAAGTCGCAATATTTTTGAGCAAATGATATTTATCGTCTATTCTCTACGCCATAAAAATAATAATGGCACGAATCACCCTGTATAAACAGATATAAAGTTCGAAGGTTAATTCGCGAGTGCCAATTCTACTGGTAACTCTGTTCTTTGATACGGTCTACTCGCCATTGAATAAACTAATAATATAGCTTTCGTGCGTCGGACCACAAACGGTCAATCATGGAAACAGCTGTCGATGGTTGGCCGTCTGTGGTCGACGTACGAAAGCCATAGTATTATCTTAATTTTTATATTGATCTTATTCAAAAATAATTAATCGTACTCGATTGTTAGCCTTTCTATTGCAGTAACAAAAACCTTCCTATACGTGAAAATTATTTTCTACATTTTAGTTCGATTTGCTATTGATACGTGTTTTATTAGTCTTTCAAACTATAATTTATTAATGGTTGTTAAACCAAGATCAAAGGAACATACATTGTTTTATCTGTGTGTATGACAGTGATTGCGCTAATGCTTTTTTGAAGGAATTGGTGGATTCTGTCTGACAAATAAAACACAATCTGATTGAAAAAATAATTTATTAATCACCTTAGCAATAGCTTCTCTAGCGCAGTAACTGGCGCTTCAAATGCTAATACCCATATGTACGATATTATCAAGGAGAACATGAAATGGCCCCAGAAATCGAAGAGCTGAAAAATGCGAAGATTTAGTTTAACTGATACAGGGTGATTCAGAAAAATGATTCACCAGTTTCAGCTTATTTTCGAAGTAGTACCACGACAAACTTAAGAAGGTAGGCCTTGGGCTGACATCCCAAATAACAAAAACTTACCTATATAAATGTGTCACCGTTTTTGAGATATTGATTTTTTCTTAAATTTAAAAAAACGAACCTTTTCATCTGTGGTTTTAGCGGCAAGTACAAATAAGGTTATACGGTTATATAAAAGATATTAAGGAACCATGATAAAGTAAGGACTGTTTTGGGATTTATAACCTTCTGATATTGTTTACTCAACTTTCGTAAAATCATATCAGGAGCATGTAATAATAATGTACCTTTGTACTATTTAGCATGTCACTGATCGGTAACCAGTGCGACTTGAATTTAAATCCAATAATTACATTGTAGTGTGTGTCAGTCACTTAGAAAAGCAGCTATCACTTTTTTCTATTCCAAATGGTACGTGTGGTGCCTTTATGAAATCTCTATTCAATGGGCAATCTTTTTATTCAATATAATGCAGTTATAGCCCAGTACATTTTTGTTTCACCACAGATGGTCAAAGTTGAGGAAAAAACATCAGAAGGTTATAAATCCCAAAATAGTCCTTATTTGATCATGGTTCCTTAATATCTTTTAACTACATTGCATTTGTATATGCTCTAGAAGTATTTTATAGAAAAACGTATAACCTTATTTGTACATGCAGCGAAAGACTACAGATGAAAAGGTTACTTTTTTAAAATTTAAGAAAAAATGTCAATGTCTCAAAAACGGTGACACTTTTATATAGATAAGTTTTTGTTATTTGGGATGCCAGTCCAAAGAATACCTTCTCCTTAAGTTTGTGGTGGTACTTATTGGACACCCTGTATATCTATATATATATATATATATATATAGGTGAAAAATTAAAGCTTCCGCCTTTTGTTGGGTACTTCGACAAAATTTAAGCAAAGAGGACTCTTTATACTTTTTTTAATTCTCTCTAGCTTTCAATGGACTTTGCCATCATCATCAGGAGAGTAGTATGTGAGGATGTTGCTAATTGTTGTTTACGTATAGGATGAGGGAAACGTCCAGTATCATGGTGAGAGCTGGATAGATGGTACAATGGTCAAAATTATATAAAATATGACAAGAACAAGTTAAAAACAGATTAAAAATTATTTAAAAACATTAGAGCATTACATCGTGAAGCCACTTGATGATTGCATCAAATGTAATGCTCTAATGTTTTTAAATAATTTTTAATCTGTTTTTAACTTGTTCTTGTCATATTTTATATAATTTTGACCATTGTACCATCTATCCAGCTCTCACCATGTTACTGGACGTTTCCCTCATCCTATACGTAAACAACAATTAGCAACATCCTCACATACTACTCTCCTGATGATGATGGCAAAGTCCATTGAAAGCTAGAGAGAATTAAAAAAGTATAAAGAGTCCTCTTTGCTTAAATTTTGTCGAAGTACCCAACAAAAGGCGGAAGCTTTAATTTTTCACCTAACTGGTCTAGACGACAATGACCACCTCTCAAAAAAAAAAAATATATATATATAAAGAGAAAATGATCATGCGGATTTTGCCCATTATTTTAATTTTTTGTTATATATATAAAGAGAATATGATCATGAGGAGAAAGGTATATAACAACAAGTAGGAAAATAGTGGGCAAAATCCGCAAAAAGAAGGAAAGTGGATTCGAGCAGGAAATAGGACAGGTAACCCGAGCGATACGTATTTCTGCTGGTTGGCTTCATCAGGCCCGAAATGAATGCACATATGAAACTACAAAAGTAGATACACATGCCCACACATCCGGATACGGGTGTAACCTGAGGAAACGAAGTTGGAGGAAAAAAAAACGACACACGAAGTCCACAACAAGAGCCAACCTACACATTGTAGTATAAAATGGCTAGAAGACCTCGAATTTTCAAGGAGACAATTAACCACCCTCCAACTTCGTTTCCTCAGGTTATATATATATATATATATAACTTCGAAGTTGAGTCATTTATTTTAACAGTGAGTAGATCTGATCAAAAGAAATGTTTTTTCCTTTACTATTTTTCTGGTAAAATTAAAGTAACAAAGTTATAGCCCTTTGGAAGTTTGAGTACCGCCCTGTCTCAATAATAATATCATGTGCTCGTGTTTGGCAACAACGGATATAATCCGCCTTATCGGTTCATCGCATCGGAAACAAAAAAGCGAAAGAATTTGGAACGATGTTTTTACAATTATTTTATTCAGTTCAGTTATACATACAGTCACTGTCAGTCGGTAACGCGTGTGAATAGTGTCTGTTGCGTGGCTCAAACGAAATAAAAAATGTAGTACAACGGGCTCGTGAATCAGGTGACTTAAGACCTCACGATCAAATACAGGTCCGCACTGAAATACTTGTCGGGAGGATACTTTATAAAACAAGGTAAACATTTTTTTTTAATTTTTTTTTTATTTTTACACACATATTTTGGTTTATCTTCCTTCTACAATCATTATCTGAAAATTAATGACTCGACTTCAAAGTCACCCTGTATATATATATATATATATATATAAACTGTTAATTGGGAAATTGGCAAACTTTTTAGGCTTTAGTTAACTCTTTTGACGGTAATCTCTAGCTTTCGGCAATTCTCTATGGAGCCTTCATCAGGAGTCGTCGTTGAGGTTGCAGCCAAATGGTGTTTCAAAACGAACGCGGGGATGAGAGCACTTGTTACAATTATAAGACCAATCGGACGGACAGATTGGGCTTATTGATAACCACGGATACCATCGTTAGGTGTAAACACTCCAAATCAATACAACCGAAACATATTGATTTTTTTTAACGAGAAGCAATTTTGTGAAAAAAACCGGGAAAGGTTCCTCGTTAAAAAAAATTTTTAATATGTTTCGGGTGCATTGATTTTGGAGTGTTAACACCTAACGATGGTATCCGTCATTATCAATAAGCCCAATGTGTCCGTCCGATTGGTTTTATAACTGTAACAAGTGTTCTCATCCCCGTGTTCGTCTTGAAACACCATTTGGCTGCAACCTCAACGACGACTCCTGATGAGAAGATATCATTTAATTTCTTTGGGTAGAAGGCTAAATATTGCAAAAATACACTCTTATAACTTAAAATCTCAAGCTTTCGAAGAATTTTTTCTTCATCGTCTGGAGTAAGTCGGCGAGATTGTTGCTGAAATTGTTTTTTAAACAACAGTGAAGGGAACACATAGTCGACGAATAAAAAACTGGACCGATGAGGTTCGATTAGGACGGAATTATTTTAATGTTAAATGGCAAATCATTTTGAAAGTTTTTAATTAAAATTAGGCGTTGATTGATTTTGGAAGAAATTTGGAGATTTTGAAACTATCAACTATTGAAAATTCCCCCGAGATTTCATCTTTTTTATCCACTGATAACCTCCACATTATCCAACACGTGTCGGCCGACTGAGTTTCAAGTTGAACGATTTATTAAATTGGTCTTATATGGAGCCTTGTCTCACTCGAACGTAAAAAGGTTAAAGAGGTTAAATTGTTTTGAAGTGATCAAAACCATGCTTTGTAGATTGGTCCGCATTCTAGATATTTAGTACCGATTTAATCTAGCCGGTCTAAAATGCGGCAACAAAGCATGTAGGGGTTTGCAGTGAAACATATTTCGTCGAAGAAGAGTCAGATCACCTATCGTCATATGATGTTAAAGAACTCAAATTAAATAAATAATGATTTACTCTGCAATAAAAAAATATTTTGAATTACATAATAAAACAAATAATTTATCTGTTTCACTTATCCAGTAAATAAAGGATTAATAACTTTTCATTTGTTAGCGTGGCCTTCGATCATCCACCCATCTTACTTTATGCGAGATCACTTACCATTCCGACTTCTGTGAAGTAGACGCCCGTCTTTCGTGACAATTCCCATAAGCAAATTTCGACAAAGTGGATCAAGTAAACGCTGTATGAAAATCTGCTCAGTACTTGGAATATTTTGTTAGAGAGAAATGAGTTGATTATACCTGGAATAGCAAGAAGAATTGTGCGGTTTCCACGTATTGCAAAGCGTGTCTAAAGGTACGCGTCCACGTGTCCGCATTGGAGTGTTCGTACCAACCAATTCAGACTAGGTAGAAGGACCACTACTAAAATATAAGCGCGCCTATATCAGGACCCCTTGAAAACGGGTAGAATCACTGGAAGAAAGTGGGCATAGTTTTTTCCTTGCGAATTATCCTAAATTGGGATAGCTGACATCTGTGAACGCATTAGTTTTCGGCAAAATAATATTTGCCCAGGTTCTTCATATCACGCTCCAACGTTAACTGAAAGGTCCGAGAATCACGCCCACTTTCTCTCAGGTATTCCACAGCCTGATTTCAAGAATTAACCTCCAGATAGACGACGAACAGGGCTAATGCACCGATGACGTCATATTGCCAATCAGCGAACACCACACCATCTACAACACTGGACGCGTAGTTTAATTTTCGTTTTGTCAGATGAGCAGATCATGGACGAAAATTCGAATGCTACACTGAAATAAAATTTCAAATGGCCACCTTGTCGGCAATATGATTTCTGCGGATATTCAAGATCCACTACCATTAATGAATTTGATACTCATCCATGTTTGTCTGACATATGTTTGAATTACTGTTTAGTAACACACGGTTTTTCGGCCACCACGCGCTATCCTTTGTCTAGTACAAATGCCAATTCTGATGACAACTGATTGAAAAAAGTCACCAAGGTGGGCGAAACGTGGTGTCACTATACAATAATTTAAACATAATGTGTTTGCATTTGGTGGCCAGTCAATCATGGAGGATTAAGCTACTTTTTGTGAAAGTGTACCTGCCCCAAAACTTTTGGAAGAGCAGCTGTATCTGCCTCTAAAGCTGCAATGTTTGAGATACAACCGGATTTTTATTGGTTCTACGGCCCCTGGCACCTCCCTGCGGACTCTGATGATCGCGTACCTTGACTATTCTTACCTCCATGTCCTAAAACACAAGCTACTACCATCCAAGCAATAAATATAGACCAAGTGGGCCTGACAAACGTATTATAAAACACATGGTCCCATTTTCTGTACTCTGGACCCAACATTGTGTCATGACCGGCAAAAATACATCCTAACATCAGTGCTAACATAGCAGTCCATATCACTAACAATAATTTCTGAAAAACAAATTGTTAACGACACTTCTGCCTGTTGCTGTGTAGTCAATGCAAAAACCACTTGAGTCCATTATTTTACCAACATGCTTTTTTACTGCAAACGCTTTATTCAAGGGTATGCAGCTCATAAGTCACTAAATTCCTCTTCAAATAGCATCACGCAATACACGTTGTTCAGTGCAAAAACATCGTCCGTACAAGTCCGGCACGGGTATCACGTATCTTGAGAGGTGACATTTTTTTTTTGACATTATGCTAGTTTTTTTTGACATTATGTAGGTTTTTCTACAAGATGATAACTTAGCACTTAGTTGTACGTGTTGCCTAAACGTCATGAGGCTTGTTATCAATCTTTGGCTCTGATTTGATGTAAAATCTGCTTCTGAGATGGCATTACTGGAGGTCTAAGCTGTAAGTTGTATGTGTTGATGATAATTACATTGGGTTCTTGTCTCAAATACACTTAATTGAGATTCAAAGCTAGAAATTAGTTGCGCATCCACTTTTTCTTATCCATTCTGGAAATTACAAATTTGCTGAATTTAAAAAATGAGAGAGATAAGAAATAATTATATTCACTGTACACTGTCGAATTACAAGTGCTAACAGTAATACACACAATGCGGGCGCGGTGATGATTTCCCGTAATTCTCCTCAGTTTTTCGTAATTTATAACTTTGAACATAACCTCTCTTCAGAAAACACAACATAAATATAACCCGTCGGGCACAGCCAATAGATATACTTCATTGGCAGCATATTCAGTAATGATTTTCTCACTCGGCAAATATCACTGATTTTATACACATGCAGACCAATACACATAATCATCAAATCATCCAGATGCGATCTTGCTATTCAACCAACTTTCTTCTCAGAGATAAACACTACAGACAATAACCATTTGGTCTCACAAAACATATGCAACCAATAATGCATGTAGTTTAGTTGAGTTATTTCTCCTTAGATGGAGGTTCACAACGATCCTAGTGAGCTAACGTGAAATGACTGTTTGCGCCCTAAAAACTACCTAGTTTGCAAAATGACATCTTATAGGTTTGTTTTGACGTTTTATAGGTTTTTACATGATACCCATGCGGGATTTACGTGGTTTTTGCTCGTACTACTCGGCGGCGGGTACTTGAAGGGGTCATTCCTAAAACGGTACCAGCACCCCTGTATTGTTTTATTTTCATATTTGTATGCTATATGCACCAAAATATCAATTTTAAATTCGCTAATTATAAAAATAATATTACTGGCCTTATCCGCTTTGCCCAAAATCACTTATTTAAGAGTTTCCTTATTTCCTATAGTCTAGTATCAAAATTGAAGTCAGCGGCGAACTTGAAAGGAAGCGGCGTCTATCCTTTGCCGGATGGATGGGAGACCGGCATTGGCGCGACAGTTAACATTTTAGTTTATAAATATGCGACAAAAAATTTCATGCCTAAAGATTTACAGTAAAGACTTTTCTCACATGTAACCGTTAGTGCCTGAATTCGAATCTGCGGAATGCCGTTGTCAAACGATTAGTGGTTTTCCCAGTTTAGTCGTTGATTTACCATGCTTTTTGGACATTTTCGAGCATTCTCTATGTCATAATGGAAAATGGTCGGGAAATTAACACCTCAAAATATGTACTGGGAGATATATCTAGCTTGAAGCAATAGGCCGAAAATATATGAAAAAAAAATATTGCGCATACAATATGATTACATGCTTCGAACGGCTCATGATGATCATCCCGTCACTCCATGAATGATGTGGGAATGCAGAAACACTAAAAACGACATTGATAAGCATTACCGATTTGGTCGACCTTTGATATCTAATTGTTTTATGTTTCATAGCACATAATAGTCAAACATATGAAAATTATACAAAACATTGTGAATTATGAAAGTAACTTCTCAAACAAAATTGAAATAACGAAATTCAGCAAATACATAGTACGAAAAGATTTTAAACATAAAACGTTGAGTAATCACTAAAAAACGACCACCCTTAAACTGTATATTTTTATTTCTTATTAATGAGAATTTGAAATACTGAAAAATTTAAAATTTAGCTATCTAAGCCTGTACAAAATAGTATTTATTCTTCCTTTTGCTATGTTTGTCTTAATAACCATGATGATTGTCTGACAGTACAGAAGGCTCAACTTTAGAAATCTTTGCAAATTATTTTTTTTTCTTATGAAAGGAACCCAACGGTAGCTTAACACCAGGATTCCACTGCCCCCACCACCAACATTTCATTTCAACATAAATGCGTAATTACATGTATGAGAAAATGCAGGCCTATTTAAAAAAAAAATGATATTGTATATATAAAATATGCCGTCACTAACGATGGCATTTATCTGTAGCGACGTCGGAATATTTATCAGACAACTATGCGACGCGAATTCGCCAGGTTAGTATCTGATGAATATCAGCAATCGCTGCGGATAAATTTGTGGCGGATTCCGCCCCGGTCTGAAGTACACATAGTTAGTAATGAACTCTTTTTGACAATTTCATGTCGAGTGTTGGTTTTACACTTGCTGCCTAATTGCCCATTTTCTTCGTTTATTCATCGCTAACATTTTTTTTATAAGTCATTTTAAAACTAACTTCTGTAGCTGTCAGGATTGATTTTTGACTGATGTTTCTAGAGTTTAAGTTGTATAAGCCAAATCATAGTAGCCGTGATCTCATATCTTTGAGAAATTTTCATAGTGGAATGGCGGATGACTTCAACAAAAATTTTATTGCTGAAGTGCAGTAATGAACAATATTTTCCACTACAGTTCAATAATGTTTGATTTATAGATGTAAATAATATACTGAAGAGTCGAGCTCATCTTCTCTATATTTTAAATAGGTCGTTGTCATCGTAGTTGCTCGGTTTTTGTCACTTTTAGAAAAAATGAATAATATGATTATTTTGCTCAAGTTGTATACTACCAACCCTATTTCCTGATAAAACAAAAGTCGTGCGTTTTCCATTATTATTATTATTAACAAACTGTGAATATTATTCGAATGTTCAATCTTTCAGAACTCATTACTCATACTATATTAAGCCCAAAAAGTACTTTAAAACTGGTTTACTTGCCAGTAACACATTTTTTATTTTCTACTGAAAAAATCAAATTGTGGGACTTACGAGGTTTTTGCACTGACCGATTCAAATGTTGGTGCATACCCTTGAAATGTGATATTTTTTGCCTTTCAAAACGTGTAGAATGTATCCAGCTATAGCTCCAATGAGATATGCAGACATTCTTGTATGTGTCTTAAAGTAGTATTTTGCTGTGAAGTCCTTTAAGTTAGCCCTACAATGAAATATCCAAGTAATGTTGCATTATTAAACATATAATGTATAATTAATGGATTATATATAATGCGAACGTTTGGTTTCCAATATATAACACATTGTAGTATATCCTCAGTGCTTTTGTTCACAACGTTAAAAGAAAACATTTGGCTGTCCCTGTATATTCCCTTTTCTTGCTTCCCGCGTGCTCCGCCGTCTTTAGACTTCGTCATTATGAGTTGTGCTTAGATCGGTTGGGGCATATTGGTTATGTTTCTAAACAGAGAAAAACGGGATGGGTGGGAAGCTATATATTGGAAACCAAACGCTCGCATAATTTGGATTGAACTTCCTTAAGGTAAGTCGTTTAATCCATTAATTATGCTTCACATTTGGTTTCCAATATATAACACATTGTAGATGTTTAAAGTAAATTACGATCTAAATAGAAAGTGTTCTTTGAGTAGGTAAATTTATGTATTTTTATGAAATATTATGAGCGTAACAGTCATTGAATAAGTTGACCAAAACTAAAGACTTACTTATATAAATCCGAGTATAGTTATATACGAAAAAATGAAATGCCTCAATAAGGTTTTATCTAACCAATGTATAACAATAACACAAATCATTAATTCCTATATTATGTCATTGAACACCATTTTGACTAACTACGAAATGCTAAGCAAGAAAGCTATGTTAATACTTGGCTAAGGTTTTTTTTAATGACAGGCATATTAATAAAATACAATGACATTCATTGTATTGAGGTAAGTATGCTTTCCGCGAAGTTTGACTTCCTTACTAATGGTCTATGGTAAAAAACGTTAAAAATTTGAGATTTCTCTCTCCACCCGGCTGCCTCTCTGATTGTTTCAATGCTTAGCCCATTTCTTGATGCTGCCGAAGTGGAAGCATGCCTGGTTGAGTGACTTTTAAAGGTATATCAATTCCGCTTTGTTTTAAAACGGTTTTTATCCGCTTGCTGAGAGGAAGCTGGATGGAATGGTTTTTTGAAGGTGAGTAACAGTTGTTGAGTTGTATCTGTTCTCAAGGGCAATGTGATTTCCATATACTGTAAAAGGGTGGTTGCAACATAGATCTCTGGTTTCTCCCGGAAAATAGGAAACGAGAGTACCTATTGGCTTTTGTTAGGTCTCGAAGTTTTTAACATTTCCGTAATGTAAATATTTACTTTTTCGTTCTCTTGTATCAATGTTGTCAAGTTTGATTTTCGTGAGTGTTTGCACCCTTTGTGCTGTTGTGAGGGCAAGCAAAGTCACTAGCTTTAATGTTAATTTATCAAGAGATAGAGTTGAGTTTATTTGTGTCTCCAGATAATTCAAGACTATACTGGGGTCCCGAAACGTTGGTCTTGTTCTGAAAAAACCCCTTTTAGATACCTTTTTATGAGCAAATTTTGTTCCTTTGGAAAGGAGAAAAGTATTGCCAAAGCAGAACTATGTGAGTTAAGAGACGCATAAGAAACCCCCTTTTCAATATGTTTTTGTAAGAACTCTATAACATTTTGCACCATTGGATGAAAGTGGGGGATACTTTCAGTATTGCACCATTGCCACCAATGTTGATAAGTCGAGTTATATTTCTTCTTAGTATTTTCACTTAGTGAAGCAATAAATGTTGACACTGCACATTCTGGTACATTTTTTATGTGAAAGGCTTGCCGCAGAGTTTCCCAACAGCCAGGGTAAGGCTGGGACTCAAGGGATGAGGTTCGCTAAAAGATGATAAAAGGAGATTGTTAGCTGGTTTTAAAATAATCACTTCCGTAACTAACAACTTGTGAAACAATGGATACCATGCTTGTGATGGCCAATATGGCACCATCAACAGACCCGTGGCTCTATCGGCGATGATTTTGTTTAAAGTTCGGGGTATCAAGGAAAAAGGTGGAAAAGCATAGAAATAATACTTTTCCCATGATATAGTGAAGGCGTCCACCGCTAGAGAGTCGGGATCCCTATGCCATGAAATATATTTTGAGCATTTTGTGTTTAATTGAGATGCAAAAAGATCTATTTCAGGGGATCAGAATTTTGATTTGATCATATGAAACGCCTCAGCATTTAACGAATATTCGGTTTCAGTTGGTAGGGATCGCGATTCCTTGTCGGCCTCAACATTATATTTGCTGTTTACGTAAGAGGCAAAGATAAAGATGTTTCTTGCCTCACACCAGTTCCAAATTTCATAGGTAAGTAAATTTAAATGTCTATGCTTTACACCTCCCGTACGATTAATATAATGCATGGCAGTAGTATTATCTAATCGGAGTAAAATGTGGCAATTTGTGAATTCTTTTGCAAATGATTTTAATCCGTTCCAAGCAGCTAAAAGTTCCAAAAAATTAATGTGGGCTTTTGCTTGTTCTTCTGTCCAAAACCCATGCGTACGTTCATTAGCAGCAAATGCCCCCCAACCAGATGGAGATGCGTCCGTAAAGATTTCGATTATGAACTTATTAGACTCAAAAAAAACTTGTGGATCATTTTCCAGGGTTCTTAACCACCAGTTGAACTCGACCTGTAAGTTTAAGGAAATGGGCATGTATCTATTATAATCTCCCTTATATTTTTTCAAATAGATATATTTGTGTTGTTCAAACCCCTTGGTGTGCAACCAGCTATATGGTATTGCTGGGCAAGCTGATATTAATGTTCCTATAATTTTCGCGAACTCACGAATTCGACAATTTTTCTTTTTTATTATTGAGTTTAACAATTTATATATATATATTTAGTTTTTTCTCTGAAGGTAATGCCATTGACATTTCCATTGAATTAAAAATGAAGCCTAGATATTTACACGTGTGTGACGGTATAGTTTTGCTTTTGTCGGTATTTATGTGAAAACCTAAGCTTTCAAACAATAACCTTGTCTTAGTGACGTTTTTGGAGCATTCATTGAATGTCTTCCCAAATATCAGAACATCATCTAGATAAATTACGGATAAAATGCCCTGGAGTCTTAAATGTTGAATGACTGGTTTTAAAACTTTTGTAAGGACATAGGGAGCAATGTTTAGTCCAAAACAAAGACATGTAAATTCGTATACCGTGTCTTGAAAAATGAACCTTAAAAATTTTCGGTGTGTCTTGTAAATAGGAATTGAAAAATATGCATCCTTCAAATCTAGAACAGCCATAAATACAGATTTATAGAAGATGTTTTTAACCATTCGGTAATCTTCTAATTTGAAGTGGGGGGGGGTTATATATTGATTAAATTTTTTCAAGTTCAGAATGAACCTGAACGTTCCATTAGGTTTTTTTCTAAGGAAAAAAGGGGATAAGAAATCTCCTTTTACATGCCATTGCCCCCTTCTCCATTAACGTTTTGATTTCATTAATGATGACTGTTGATTCTGTAGTCGACCAAGATTGCTGATTAAATTTTATTTGACTGGGTCTAGAATTTAAAGGTAATTTATACCCTTTGATACAGTTAAGGATGTATGTACTGTTTGTTAATTTTGCCCACTGCGATACGGCAAATTGCAAGCTGCCTGCAAGTTTACGCACCTTGGTGTGTCCTACAGATTTTTCCGAAACTGACGTTCAGTTTTAGTTGTTTCCGCCAATTGCGATTGTTGGAGTAGTGACCCTGATCCTTCTTCCTCTGTTTGTAAGGCTGGCGCTTGAAGTTTTTTGGAGGGGCAGGCTTCTCAAAACCTTTTATTTCCCTACTAGTTTTCTCGACTTCTTTGGCTAACTTGCATTTTTCATGGAAATCGTTTCGAAAGAGAAATTTTTCCGGTAGCAAATCTTGTGCCACTTTCCTGGCTGAAGGCGAAATTTTTGTTGCCATTAAATACCTTCTTTCTGTAGTGAGACTATGCATGGCTCCGGAAAAAAACTTGGCAGCATCTATTATAGTTTAATTGCTCTCGGTATTTTCAGGCTTGGCCAAGGATTCACTAAGAACCTGTCCCAACGCGACTAGTCCTTTTCCCAAACAATTTTGTGCTTTAGTCAGATATGACTCGGTGGATTTTTGGTCGTTTTATAATAATACCAGCATTTCTGGGTTAACTTGAGGGGCTTGTAGTCATTCCCCGTTCGTGGGAAGCGGGTATTTTTGATACATTTCTTTAAACTGGTCTTTTTCTATGCCTTTAGTGATGTATGTGGACCACCTTGACATAAGCTGATCATTTAACGGTGGCCCGGGCACCCCCTCCCCTCTTCTCAGCCCAAAAAATCATTAATATGATGATCAGTTTTATTTTCCAGGGTTTCGCGTGTTTCCTTCAAGCTATTGGATGACGACTGTCATCGGAGTCATAATAGTCTGATTCCGATGCAGTGGTCCTGAATTCTGAATTACCTGAAAAGGTTAAAACTCTGGCCAGGACTTACAAATATTTTGAGACACACGGTACAACAAAATGTACAATGATATTATTGTTTACGACCGGTACGAGACACAGTCACAAAAAATAACCGAGCGATGACGATCCGGTTGTTGCTTGGTTTTTGCAGGGCCTGGTCGATACATCAGCACGAAATATTCTATGCCACATAAGATAACAGTACGAATATTTTCTTACGTCGCCCACATAAAGTAGAGTGACTGCATGCTGTGCTGCCCTGTTCTAACAATTCATTGGAATTTCTACATTGCATACTTCAAAGTAAATAAGACATGAAAATTAAACAAAGAAACTTACTGTCGGATGAAGAGCTGGATGATGACTTGCTCAATATCTTCCTTATACTTTCTATCCTTCCGTGCCTTTTTTAAGGACCGTGAGACATGTTTGTCACCCTTTCTTTTCGGCATTTCAAGTGGTGAACTCGGACGAAGGAAGTCAAACTTCGCGGAAAGCATACTTACTTCAATACAATGAATGTCATTGTATTTTATTAATATGCCTGTCATTAAAAAAAAACCTTAGCCAAGTATTAACATAGCTTTCTTGCTTAGCATTTCGTAGTTAGTTAAAATGGTGTTCAATGACATAATATCGGAATTAATGATTTGTGTTATTGTTATACATTGGTTACATAAAACCTTATTGAGGCATTTCATTTTTTCGTATATAACTATACTCGGATTTATATAAGTAAGTTTTTAGTTTTAGTCAACTTATTCAATGACTGTTACGCTCATAATATTTCATAAAAATACATAAATTACGATCTAAATAGAAAGTATTCTTTGATTAGGTAAATTTAAAATTTAAATTTAAACAAGCAAACAATGTGTTATATATTGGAAACCAAATGTGAAGCATAATTAATGGATTAAACGACTTACCTTAAGGAAGTTCAATCCAAATTATGCGAGCGTTTGGTTTCCAATAGATAGCTACCCACCCATCCCGTTTTTCTCTGTTTACGAACATAACCAATATGCCCCAACAGATCTAAGCACAACTCATAATGACGAAGGCTAAAGACGGCGGAGCACGCGGGAAGCAAGAAAAGGGAATATACAGGGACAGTCAAATGTTTTCTTTTAACGTTGTGAACAAAAGCACTGAGGAGAATATACTACAATGTGTTATATATTGGAAACCAAATGTGAATCATAATTATTTTTAGAGGGATCTGGTGATAAAACTTCGGATACCCTTCACAAATTTGAAGGTGTTGAGGATATGCTGTCAAATTCCTGCATGCTGTCCATTCCATTGAGCAAATATTTTATCTTTTGTGTGAATTCATCATGACGGTGCGAATGAGATCAAAGCAGCTGAAATCGTGGTGACTGAATTTCTGAGGGTACTTGCAATCATGGGAGCAAGATTGGAGTCATTATGGGAAGTTAAACTTATGCTTGTTTTTTATTAAAAAATTTCTAGACTTACGAGGATCATTTTTAACCGTTTTGTAATGGAGTCAGATAAACTTTATTCGTGAATGTAAATCGTATCACAAATTAATCTATCGATTTTTTTCCTTTTTCACCATTAAACATTTAAATGTTTGTCAAGTCGTGGCATCTCATCTCAGAACACTGCCGCCTGAGCGTTAAACCAGATAGTAACTGCCTCTTTCAGCATGTCATCACTTCCCAAGCTCTTTCCACCAAGACAATTTTTAGTTTTGGAGAATGATGAAAAGCTGATGGTGACGTCGCTAGAGAGTAGTCACCACCGGCCGCCTAATTTTAGCAGGAGTAACTTTTTTTCTTTTAGAAACCGCATTATTCAGAGCACTTTATAATCGGCAGGTTTGCTGATTGACATGGCGACAAACAAAGCAGTGTAATTACACAAGAAAGACCGACAGAGACGTGAAACGTAATGGCGGAGGAGTGAGTCTGGCCAAGAGTCTCGGAGCTCCAACGGATGTCACGGATGCGCAATCGATTCCTACTTTAAAAATGGTCCTCGTATTCACCACCCCATGCAGTTGCTAGATCTCGCGTCTCCACATTATTATTATGCGTTACCAAAATCATTTTAATTCATCCAGTGAAATATATACTTACCAGATTAGTATTGAGTTATACAACGCTGGTAACTTATATTCATATGTAAGGTAGGCAACTGCAACCATAGATCCAAAAGTGGCAGATATTAGTAATGTTATCCCTGCTGTTGGATACTTCCATAACAAAATGAGTAAAATGGGAGAGAAAAAATACAGCTGAGTGTCCACACTTAGATACCACGTATGAGACAAGCACTGCAAAAATCAGATTGTTTGTAAAAATTAATGTTTACTCAAGAGACTGAAAATGTTGAACTGGGCATGTCTAATTTTCCACTAACTTTACTGGTAAAATTTTGTGTACCTACAATTTTCAAAAACCCTCATTTTTTATCATGTAACATCAATTATTTTGGTGTTTCAACGTATATGTCTACGTGCATAATTTGAAAATTGAATTGATGTTTTACTCCATTTTTACTTCCGACGCCTACTGGCGAGGAAGTATTGTTAGCGCGAAAAATCTTAATGCGTTTTCTTCATGAAAAGCTCAAATAATGGTTCTCACAAAACCTGCGTCATCTTGATGTCATTGTATATGTATGTACTAGGAGTTGTTGCGAAGGTGTGGGAAGTATAGAGTTAATCTACTTTTATATATAGTGGGTCAAAAAATATTTTTTCACACCCCATCTTTGTCTTGAATCTCAATAACGAAAAGATGAATTTTTTGTTACTACATTTATTTGAAAACTAATATGTAAATAGGAATTTTTGAAGTTAATTAATTAAGCAAATTAAAAATAGTAACAATAATAATAGGGATTATGAAATTCAAGGATCAATAAAGAATGTGCTCGCTAAAAAAAACAAGTAAATAAATACGGTGAATATATTTACAGCTAGTACATACTTTGTTATCTTACCATTTGCATCAATTACGTCCTGAAGCCATCGTGGAATGAAATTTCTGAGTTATTTCTGGTCTAATTCGATCCCATTTCTGCATAAGAACATCTTAGAGATATTTTATTTTTTCGGGCCTTCAGGTCCAGCAAGTGCTGCAGATGATTAATGGGGTTGAAATCCAGGAATTGGGGCATTGTGTAGGAACACTGAAGAGTAACCATTCCTTTGTTTTAGTGTCGGTGTAACTAGGATCATTATCCTGCTGAAAGATATTATAGATGTTTCCCGATCCCGATGGTTTCGTCACTGATGTTCTAGCTAGTGCGCAAAATGTCAACATACTTGTCTACAGTCTTTGATCAAGCTTAAGCTTTTCAACACCACTCCACGACATGCAGCACCAGACGAAAACGTTCCCATCATACCATGTTTCACTGTATGACTGGCACGTCTCATTTTCAAATTAAGTGTTAGGTTTTGTCCATATACAGGGTGGCCCATCCACGTATGGACGGAATATTACTCATAAACAAATACATTTTGGGAAAATATATTTATGGGATGTTATACATAACATTTGAGGGCCCATTTCTAAAATATTGGCCATTATACAGGGTGTCCCAATTTCTACCTACATATCAAAGTTGTGATTTTTCAAATGGAATGCCTCAAATTTTATTGCATATTTGGTTAAACCAATTCAAAAAAAGAAAATTGATATAACATACTATGGGGTTTTGGTAATTAGCTACTGAGATATGTGGTTTGTCTAGAAAAACCCTCCACTTCGGCAACCCCTCAGTCCGCCATTTTGAAATTGGGAGTGCTAAATTTTGTATAAAAAAAAGCTTACACACCTCAGCTTTTATCTTATTTGTTACTTTTTCGAATTTTAATTTATGCTCATACAGTGTGGTCAAAAATGCTAATTGTGGTTTTTCTCACAAATGTCAAATGCATCACCCTGAATATTTGTGCAAGTTTGGATTCAATTTTTTATAATCTTTTTATATAATAGACACATATAAGTGTTTACGGCTATTTTTTCGGTTATTAGCACGTCCTTTATGGAACGGCTTAATTCCCTAAATTATCGCATAATCATGGAAACAAATAAATTGTTGATTAGATATAAACTGTCAAAATTAGCTTTGTGAGCATTATAATAAAAACATGTTTGGAAATGAATTTTTCTAAAGAAGAAATAGTGAATATGGTGAAAGAAATAGTTTCCTAGCATCTCGCATTTATAAACAACGGTACCCTAATATGCGACATCCAAGGCCGGAAACATTTTCCACACTACGAGAACATTTTGAATCAAGTGGAGCAGTGGAATATAGTAAAAAATGAATAAATAATCCAAGTGTCACCAATGAGGCGAATGAGTTGGAAGTTCTATTAAAGTTGCAGGGAAATCCCCATTTAAGTGCACGGCAAATTGAAGCAGAAACTGATATATGCAGAACTTCTGTAAAAAGGATTATTCACAAGCATAGGTACCATCCATATCACCTATGCTTGCATCAAGGCTATATCTTGGCCTCGTAGATCACCAGATATGACACCGATGGACTTCTTTCTATGGGGCTACTTTAATCAAGAGGTTTATAGATATCCACCATCTACCCCGGAAAATATGAAGGAAAGGATTAAGGATGCTTTTCTAAGCATAAGGGAACACATGCTGAGGGATGTGCAACGGTCATTTATCCAAAGACTACGGCTGTGTATTCAACATGGTGGAGATATTTTCGAGCAGTTTTTGTAGATTAGGTCTTGAGTAGTGATAGTTGTTTGTTTATGTTGTTGTTATAGTTGTTTTTCTCTATTACACTTGAAGATGATTTATACTGTTCTGATTGTTATTAGTTATTACGTCAAATCTGTACTCTTAGTGGCAATATGGAACTAGCCCACTGTTTGTCTTTTGCTTCCATGGATGATGTGATTTTTTTCGTTAATTTTGGTGTGTTGTTCTATTAAAAGCTTAATAACTCAAAATCTAGTGATTTTATCTGAATCAAACCTTACACCAAAAAATTGAATCCAAACTTGCACTAATATACACAACTCGCGTTTTTGACCACACTGTATGAGCAAAGATGATAATTCGAAAAAGTAACAAATAAGATAAAAGCTGAGGTGTGTAAGTTTTTTTGATACAAAATTCAGCACTCCAAATTTCAAAATGACGGATTGAGGGGTTGCCGAAATGGATGGTTTTTCCGGACAAAACACCTTACATCTCAGTAGCTTATTACCAAATTGGTTTTTCCAAATATGCAATAAAATTTGAGGCATTCCATTTAAAAAATCACAACTTTGATATGCAGGTCAAAATTGGGACACCCTGTATAATTGCCAATATTTTTTAAATGTGCCCTCAAATGTCATGTATAACATGCCATTATTATATTTTCCCAAAATGTATTTTTTATGAGTACTATTCCGTCCACACATGGATGGGCCATCCTGTATATTTGCGACTATCAGATCCATCTTTTTAGTTTAGAGTGTTTTAGTTTGGGGCTGCATGTCGTGGAGTGGTGTTGGACAGCTAAACTTCGTCGAAGGCATTATGATTGCAGACAAGTATGTGACATTTTGAGCAAACACTTGAACAGCAGTACTTGAGAAATAGGGATCGGGGATACAATTATAGCCAAAAACCGATCCTAAGCACACTGCACAAAGGAATGGTTAGTTTACAATGTTCCTGCACAACTCAAAACTCCACTGAAATCCCTGGATACCGATCCCATTAAACCATTGTGGTACTTCTCGACCTGAAGGCCCAAAAAAGTAAAATTTATCCCAAACAACAGCTACAAGATGTTCTTATCCAGGAATGGGACCAAACTGGACCAGATACAACTCAGAATCTCTATTCCACAAAGGCTTCGGGCGATAATTGATGCAAATGGTATTAGATCAAAGTACTAACTGTAAATAGACGTTGTTAACACTTATTTACTTTGTTTTTGAGTGTGCCAATATTTTTCTGACCCTTGAATTCCATAATTCCCATTATTATTCTTGTATTTGTTTTAATTTGCTCAATCTATTGCCGTCAAAATTAACTATTTGGACGTAGGCTTTCAAATAAATTTCGTATCAAAAAATTCATCTTTTCGTTATTGAGGTTCAAGAAAAAAATAGAGTGTGCCAATACTTTTTTGACCCACTATACGTGGTGTGTCAATCAAATTCCGGGAATGCAATAATAACTTGACTGGTAACTTTGCGTCACCTGGCAACTACTGTCCGGCAAAAGTGCACTTTTTTTGAGTTACAGTCCAAAACTGAAGTCGATTGTACGTGTGGTTTGAATTTTGTGGGTGTTTTTTGAAGGAAAGATTTTGAGTGGCGTCGTGAAAATGAGTGACTGACATTACAAGCAACGTGTTGTGATCCAATTTTTTGTGAAAGCTAGCAAAAAATCCTAGGAAATCTTCCGAAAATTGCGTGTTTGAATGGGCAAACAGTTTAAAGAGGGGCTTGAATCGGTAGATGATCCACGTGAAGGGGCTCCCGTAACCTCTTGTACCGACGCAAATGTCGACCGTTTGCATGTTCTGACAACATCTGACCGACCCCTAAGCATTCATGCATTGTCTGGCGAGCTAAATATGAGCAAAGAAACCGTCCGCCAAATGTTACACGAGAATTTGAACATGTGAAAGGTTTGTGCAAAGATGGTTCCAAAATTGGATCTTGCACCACGTCAACGTACCGGCCCATTCCTCGTTGATTGTTCAAGAGTTTTTTTTGGCATTCCAATGATGCGCCATCCACCGAGTAGGCCCAATATTGCCCCCTGCGACTACTTCTTATTCCCTAAGATGAAGTCACACCTCAAAGGAACTCATCATGGAGGCATAGAGGAGGTGAAAGCAGCTCTAACGAAGGTGCTGAACGGGCTAATTTCAGAGGATTACAAGGATGTTTCGAATCGTAGGAGCAGCAATGAAAGCGTTGTGCAGAGTTAAATGGAGACTATTGTGAAGGTCGACAATAAAGTTTATTGATAAATTCCCGAAATATAACTGGCACACCACGTATACCTATAGCAGTTCTTACTATGTTATTCTGTTCGTTGGCATAATTTTGTATGTACAGTAAGGACGTCCACCAATACTTTTCGCACTGCTTTTGGAACAATTCTCTCATCAGAGCCCATCTCGGTCCGCTGCCCATGTAGTCCAACAGGTATACTGTCACCAGAATCAATGCTGCTAGAGCTGGCGTTAATCTGCAAGCATTATGTAAAGTAACAATTGTGTGAAATCATCCTCGCTCGAACATCGAACGTTTCTTTCTTAACTATACTCACCGCAGGTATCTATGTAGATAAAAAAGAAAAATATTGAATTTTTTACCAGACTGCATTGCTTGCAAGAAGTTGTATACTACCAGAAGCCCTGCTAGGCACAAAAAAGTATCAACTGCAAATGTTGTGCCATGTTGGAACATTGCCCTTGTTGTTTTTTCATACTAAAAATAATATGCCTATTAACAATATCGTTGATTAACGTATTCACACTGGAGGTAGCCAACCTAAAATGAAATACCTTAGCGTAATCTATGACAATTTGTTACACAAATGTGTCCTCTACTCTAAAATTATACTTTAAAAAGGTAAAGCCCGAATTAACAAAGCCGGGGCGCAAAAAAGCACGTGGGTCACAAATTCAACCAATGAAAAGGCGTCTTAGAAGTAATGGATCTAATATATATGGTCGATTTCTTGTAAAATGTCTCTCAAACTAGAGAAAAATCATACAATTTGTTTAAGTCACTTGGTTTAGCTACATTTGCGTCTGGACACTAAATTAGGGGCCATACTGCATCAGTGAAAAATAAGCATTTGCGCCATACTCGAAGCATGGACACAAATCTGATACAATAGCTAGATTGATATGACATGTATTGAAAATAACAGCGTCTCACTGTTGCTGTACAAATTTCTGTTTTATTAATCCTTTGAGGACGTAAATAAAATTACAGAATGCTTATTCTTTAACAAACATATCGCACCCTCTACTGTGTAGTAGTACAACTACTTCTAGCCTTGCCACCCTCACCGCGGCGCAGTGTGGTTGTGTAGTCGTCCTACCGTCCAGTAGAGTGCGCGACTACTTCCTGTTAACAGGAAGTTAAGTAGGTAGGTATATAAATTGTTTTACTCAATATTTGTGAAAGAATAAACATTCTTAATTTATTAAACAGAATTTTGTACAGCAACAGTAAGACACTGTTATTTTCCATCAAATGATCAGTAATGGCGTCATGTTAATCTAATATTTGAGGTTTGATCCATGTTTCGAGTATTTATAATAGGTTTTTGTAGTTGAATCATGTGATTGTGATATATCGTCGGCTTACTTTCAATACCTCCTAAGTCGCTTTGGGCTAATTTTACAGGAAGGACAAAAAACTTGTCTGAAATGACTTGCACAATTGTTGTGAAGTGATATTTTGTTAAATATTAATTGTCGATAACTTTGACTTGTTAATGCTGATTTTCACTGAAAATCACAATAACGTAGCTTTTAATGAGACTCAGAGGGTTTTGAAACAAGAAAAACGAGAAATATTTCAGACCTACTAGGTTTTATTTATTCTGAATTCTGCCTACATTTAAATAATAATAAACTGAGCACTAAACAAGGTAGAACAATGGAGTCAAATAAGACCAAATAAAACACAACTTGTCAAGGAGATAACTTAAAAACTAAAAAACTAATCGGCTTCAAATGGCAGGGTGTCATAAAAGAGATGATAGTCTGGAGGTATGATTGCCTTCAAGTCTTGTAAGTGGTCGTATTTACTTTTCTTAATTGGCAATGGATTTTGATAAAGCGGAACGATCTCTCCAGCCCTTTGACTCTTCCTGCTTGATCTCTTATCCAGCAACATCCAATCATCGTCAAAACTCAATTTATAGTGTAGCGTTCCGTCAGGTCTGTATTGAATAGCGCACAAATCATTAACCGTAGGATCCCCTGTTTTATAGCCAGGGCGAATGGAAGTGTGGTACTTGAGTGCAGAAAAGTTTTTAAAATACCTATGACTCAAATATTTAACTTCATAGGGCTTAGGATTAAATCTAGCTGATTTGGAGGCAGCAATATAGCCAGCAGGAGAATAGATTTCTATATTACGAGTTTTTCGTTGTGGAGTGTATGCTGTCGCAATCCATCTGGGTGTGGCCACTTACCAAGTACTTTTGAGTAATAATCATTCCTTTATTTACTGATAAATGCAAAAGTGCGTTCGACAAGATAACATTCTTATTTTGGGCAGTGCATCCGTCACTGTATAAAATAATTTCATCCCCTTCTGACAAGTTTAACTCTTCAATAAAATTGTGCAGAATTGTTGCAAATTCATTTGAGGTTACTTTTCCTTCAGATTCGTGACAGAGGAAGCAATTTGCATCTTTTGTTATTAAGTTATAGATGGTGAAGTTATGTACCACTAATTTCTTTTTGTAATAAATTTTTGAAGCTTTAAGCATCGGACAAAGAAGTACTGATTGGAGATCCACTGTAAAGACGTGTCGCCCAGCGACTTTATCTGATGATTTTTCATCGCGTGCCAAATTTTTCTTGGCAATGTGCTGATTGTATAACTGCTCATCGATATTTCCAGCTTTGTATGAGACACAAAGGTCACATTGATCTTTTTTCGGAGAAAACAAGCTCAAATTATTCAAAGCAAACTCCTCATGAAATGTCTTTATAGAGAGAGATTTAGAGTCCTTCTCTCTACAGTACTCCAGATAACATCTATATAATGCAGCTTTACTTTGCCAAATAGGTTCCAAGTATTGCTTACTGGACGAAGCTCTACAGAAGTGAGACTCGATTTTCGGTAATACCGTGAAAAAGTTCTTTAATGCAATTCTCTCCGTTTCATGTCTAGAGTTAACTCTATTTATCTCAGGCAGTTTGGCATTTTCGGTATAAGGAGAATCAATGTTATTACCCTTACCTATAGCTGCCCAGTTATGCATGGATCAAGTTCCCAGGCTTAACGTATTCGTAAACATGACCTGGCATACTCTTTGGCGAACACCATTTTTCTTCAAATGAAACTTGAACGTACTAGAACGTCTTGAAGTTTCATTAATTTTATTTTTTAAATCTTTTGGAGCCATACTGTCGACAAGGCTGGAAACGTAAACTTTCCGTTGAGGCCAAGTCATACTTCGCCAAAATGTATTGAAAATGTGTTGCCTATCCTGCTCTGTGAAATTTCGGCAATGTATGTTCTTGGACTTTTCGGACATCTTGCAGTTACAGAAACTTTTCATTTGACGAGGTGGTTTCTCTACATCAAACGTCCATTTTCCATCCGCGGTTTTTCTTAGCCCATCATATGCTTCACCCTTTTCACGTTTAAGCTTACACTCTTGTCTTTTCCAACTTAGAGCATCAGGTTTTCGTTTCCTGTTTCTTTTGATCTCAACGTGGTGCTCTTCAATACTTTCCATCAAAGACTCATCGTTTTCTGGAATATTTTCTTTACCCAAAATGTTCCGTTCCTGAGATAAAGTTCCATTGAGACATTCGTTTTCGAAATCTTCGTATTCGCTTTCATTTGGTAGGTAGTTTGGGTCAATATTACGTAGCTGTTTGTTATCCAAAGGAGTGCCTACACTTTCAAGCTCAGCAGTATCTTCATACCATCTTGGATGATACTCGTTTCGTCAACTGTTATGTCAGCATTGAGAAATGCAATGTCTGTAGTACTTACGGTGGCTGCATTTAAAATGTCGACTTAGCTTAGAAGCTTTTGCGTAATGTTTCGGAGTGTACCGATATAGAAGGTTTAATCATCGGCTAATAGATGGCGATATAATAATCATAGGGATAGGAGCCTTTGTACGCTGTTGAGTTACAATTTTTAAAAGCCAACTGTGCCAAAACCTCAGAAGTGGTGAAAATCGGACTTAGGAGGTTTTGAAAGTAAGCCGACGATATGTATATGAAGTGTTTCTTGATTTAATATGAAAATTAGGAGCCATCTTACACAAAGCGTAGCATTTTCTCTAGTTTGAGAGACATTTTACAAGAAATTGACCAAATTTCTTCTTGTTGCTTCAATTTGTATCAATGGCGCGAATTTTAATTCTCGCCGATCAATAGTAATATGCTAATATATTAAGTAGACTTATTAGTGTGGAAAGGAAAATATAACTGAAAAACTCTCATTTCAACTCGATTAATTTTCTAGATGCGGGAATTTAGTATTAGGCTGGCTATTTTGAGGTAGAATACGCTACTCTATGACAATATCAAGATTTTTTATGATCATCAATGTCGGAGAAGAATCATTACATCACCTTAATTTAACTCATGTTTTATATCTAAACACGTTGAAAAGTTTGAATACTCACGTCAAGTATGTCAATGAGATTCATGAAAGGTGACACTAAATATCCTGTAAAGACATGTCCCAAAACAATCCAAATCATACTAAAGAACTTTATTCCACTGATGCATGATAAATCTGATTTATTTTTTGTGTCCATCAGCCTCAGGGTATTGGTGTATACTGAAAATGCTATTAGAGCTGGGCTTGCAGGAGCTGAAAAATGTGTATGAAGAAAGAACAGACTACTATATTTTGTTTTAATAATATACTTTCATCCTATTCATTCTATTTGAGAATGTGTAACCATATCGTATATGTCAGCCATACCTTTACCATTCTGTCTACAATAGACATCGTATGCTGTCGATAACACCATCATTAGCCCCATGGTACAAAGAAAACATCTGGAATAACAACAATTGATATTTCGTTCTGTTATTATTTATAGGAAAAACTTACATTGTAGCTATGACACCCTTTGTCATTGGTGGGTATCTATTCTCTTCGGTGTGACAATAAAAATGGGAATCGGGAAACAATTTATACTTTTCATTAATTTCTTCGGCAGAACATTGCCTAGGTACACACAAAGCTACTGGGTAACCTATCAAACCATCTGCCTAAACAAAATATCAGACTGTGAGGAGTTTCGCATAACCATGAAAATAATTTAGAAGTAAAAAGGTAGTTCGTACCAGTTCTTTGAATTCCTTGTCGAGGTTCGGAATAGGCAGGACGAGTTTCAAACAATATTGTCCTTTGATTGTGTGGTCTTTGGAAACAATACTAAGGCATTCTTCAAAGTTTCCCATGCTGCCGAAATTCCCTAACAGTATCCCGTCTGGAATAATGCTTGAAGATGAATCGATCACTGGAAAATGCATAAGTTATGATATCAAGCGAAAACAAGATCTTTAAAAAAACAGTACCTAAGGCCCGTATCGTCAGTCGTCCCTAGAATTCTAGGGCGCGTTTATGGCCTCCTTGATTGTCATAGTTTTCTACTTCTCCGTGTCAGCGCTCTATTTTGAGGTTATGTCACAAACATCTATTTGCATCAAATTGTGCTTGCTTTTGAGTTTTATCATGATTTATCAGCCTGAAATTTCCTACAATTTAAAAGGAAAACATATCTTAACAATAGGAGAACGCTGACGCTGACACGGGACGAGTGTAATCTAGAAATTTTTGAAGGAGAGAAAAGAGTATGACAATTAAAGAGGCCATAAACGCGCCCTACAATTGTAGGGACGACTGACGATATGGGTCTTAGTCAACACTTGTGAAAGATTCAATAATTCATAATGGTCTGAAAATGTACATGTGCCTCCCTGATGCTTTCAAAAGTATGAACAGTTTCCGCCGAGAACTCAAAAACATTCTAATAAACAATTCTTATTATACCTTATATGAGTTCTACAATACATTTACTTAAAATCCACGTACGAGTGTTTGAAATTAGCTTTGTCAATACGAATGACTGTATTCTTCAGATACTAAAGCATATTTATCAATATATCTGCAAGACTTCCGTTAACTTCCCACTCGAGAGCAACTATTATGATCACGAAAAATTTCGTATATCAGATATTTATGTCCATGTACATCACGAAAATCGTTGTCACTAATTCCTGTCTAAAACTTGTAAAGTATCGCTTTGGATGAAATTTTTACACAATGTTACTACTACGCCAAAGACGAAAAAGCTTTGCAGTTTTTTAAAATAGGTCTAGTGGCGTCGGAGCTACGGGCCAAAACATTTGTAGATATTAAAAATTGGGGTAATGAAACTCAACGCCTTCTCTATTGCACAGACTTGTATAGCTGTTTCAGCCTGAACTATTATTGCTATATTATCTAGACTTATAGAAGTCTCGATTTTTTGCCTTATTCCACAAATCTAGACTCTCACTTCGTTTTACAGTTCTAGAGCCGTCTGTGTACCAATAGCTTTCAGCATGTATGCAAGGTGTTTCAAATTCGACCCTCGCCACTGGGATCTCGGAAACTGTAAGAGATACGAAGTCACTTAAATGGTAGAAAACTGCGTATTTAGGTGATCAATAAAACGCCGCTTAGAAAGTTTATAAATTGAAAGTACTTCCGGAGAGAGACGGAAGAAACTGAATTTTCCCAAAACAGTTTCAATTTTTTCCTGACTTTATTTGTAGTGCGGTTTCAAAATAAACTGCAGATTAACATTGCCACTTTTTCTCTTCTATAAGATAACATAAGTAGAACTTCAGTATGATGTTTCATCTCTTGTACTCCAGTATCATCTTTATTTTTTCTTATAGACGCCATAATGGATTTTTTCACCGATGAATCGGGGTTTTAATTCTGATTCCAAAAATGTATAATACAATGATGTTGCCAAACTTTAGTTATTTTAAAAAAATCAGTTAGACCTTGACATTATCAGACAATCATTTGTTTCGCCTACAGTATTTATCACAAAATCACTTTTATTTTTTTCTCCACGCCTTTTTTGGTTGATTAATAAAACAGAATGATAAATACTGTCTAACTGTTAGTCCAAGCAAAACAGTTGTCTAGTTGCGTGCAAATTTAGGCCCTAGCTCAACAAAGCGGATAGTAGGTGGAGGGTTAAGAGCGCCAGTGACTTAGGATGGATTAAGCCACAACTCCCCGAGATGTTAGTCGGAACTTGTTTTGCTTGACCACCACACAAAAGGAGAATCTAACAGAGGTGAAATTTAAGTAACAGTACACACAGAGAGAGCCAAATAAAGCAAGATATTAAATGAATCACAATATATTGATTAATAGAAAAAAAAACGCACATGTGCTCCACTATTGGAAGTGCAAGTAATAAAAAAAGAAAGGATGTTATAAATCTTAAATACAACCAGACAAAATTATTTTTCGAGATAACCCCGCGAAACGTCTACCATGGTATACGCCCGAAGTATTTACAGATATTTTGTGGCCAGTAGTGCGCACGTCACTGGGCAGGGGCTGCTTGCCTCGTTGCCGACAATTATGGTCGTAAAAAAAACCCTAGAGAGAGAAAGACCGTTTAAAAATCTACTCTAGTCTCTGTCTGAGATAAAAAAAACCATGTACATTTTTTGTACAAGAAAAGTAAAGCAAAGGCAAAAAAAAAGATAAAAATGTACTAAACTAATGTACCCTTGTTCTAAAAAGTTATGGCAGCTCAAAAATCAAAATCATGATCAATGTAATCGAAGGTGTCATGTAGGCACTGCCCCCATATTTGAATACGTAAAATATCCAACAAAATCAAGAAGTCTCTAAGAATTTCAAGAAGGAATAATACATGTATAAAGATCTATGAAATTGTTAATTAGAATGACATTTTACCTGCTCACATCAGGGTTTTTTTTCAAGGGGATGGCTTCCACCAATTTGCAAAACTGCATCAAGATGCAACCAACTGGAGGAGAAAGGACGACGATTCTCTTCTGTTTCTATTGACTAAAAGAAAGCAGATATTGAACGAACGTCATCAGAACACGCATTAAGGCACGTGGTCCGAAGGTATATAAAAAAGAACTTACCGCTGAGGGTCAAAATCCCATAAAAAAATGGAAGACGTAGCACCCATACCAAATTGACTAAACTTAAGTTACACAAAAAAAGGGTGCTAGTCCATGAATTGGCGCTTGGGGCCTAATATCCCACAGTCCGGAAAATGACGAAACGACCCCTGTATCACGACCTCAACGGAAACAGAAAAGCGAATCACGCAGAACACGTAACGTTCTAGAAGAAGGTATCTTGAGTGGCCTTTGAAGAAGATATGTTTTATAGAAAACCAACTAACGGAGAAAAACTACAGAGTTTTTTGCTGATCGTCAACACCATACTGAATCGCTGAGAAAGAAAGATATAATACAAGTGAAATTATACAATCAATAAAATATTAAATTTGCCAAAAGAAAATCATTGAAAAGGGTTTGGCACTCTATCAATGAAGAGAAATTCAAATTACGGATAAGTGATAAATACACAGTAAAAAAAAATGGATACGTGATTTGGCACGTGACATCTGTTATTGTATTACAGATTGTACATAAGCAAAGAAAACAATTTTCAAGACTTCAGTACTAACTTGATCTTCAATATTGCGTATTATTATATATATATTTTCGATAACACTGCTGTAATTTGTTCTGTCCACTTCAATGAATGGTCTATTTTCACGCCTAGAAACTGTGCAGTGTCGTTTGAACTATGGTTTTTCCGTTTAATTTCACATAAAGTGATTTGGTAGTGCCGTTATTGAAGTTTTTCGATGTTCAAATGTAATAAGTTGTCATTGTACCATTCAGCTACATTATTGTGACAAATAGTACTGTTGGCTCCATCTGTTGAGCGAGTCTCCTACTCTCCTATTCTAGATGCCGCTTTGTGGTTCACCAGACCTTTCTCGAAGCAGCAATGGGGATTATATATAACTCGGCGGCCGGGAGATGGAAGTAGAGTACTGAATACGGTAGAGTAGCAGAGCGGAGTGAAGTATAGTGCAGTCAATGGATACATGAGAATTAGTCAGACATAGTGGTGTACATAAATGTTCTATCAAGTTAAATAAATTAGTGCATTTCTTTTCTCGTTATGGACGACGGACTCTTACTGCATAAGATGGTGGACCACGACGGCAAAGAGGAAAGAAGTTATCCCCAGATGTCGGATCCCGGAGCTGCTAGAAGAAATCCATTCCGGTGTATCAGGAGGTCATCTCGGAGTTACAAAAACCCTGGGAAAAGTAAGGGAAAGATTTTACTTCGATGCGCCAATACAATGTGGGGAGCCCCTTTGAAGGATTGCTATTGATGTGGCGGGACCCTTTCCAGAAAGTGAAGCAGGAAATAAATACATCGTTGTGTTAATGGATTACTTCAGCAAGTGGGTTGAGGCATACGCTCTGCCAAATGAGGAAGTCTCTACGGTAGCCGATGCCTTAGTAAAGGAATGGATCTGTCGATTTGGTGTACCTTTAGAGTTCCATCCGGACCAAGGGCGCAATTTTGAGTCATATCTGTTCCAAAGTATCTGTCAAATCCTTGGGATTAAGAAGACCAGGACTACTGCCTAACACCTGCAGTCAGATAGAATGGTGGAGCGCATAAATAGGACCATTAACCGATATCTGGCTAAGGTAGTCTCTAAGCATCAAAGAGACTGGGATAGTTTTCTTCACCTCTTCTTATTGGCTTACCGATCGTCGATTCATAAAAGCACAGGAGAGACCCCGGCTCGTCTCCACTGCGATCTAAAGTTTGGCTGTCCACCAGGAACTGATATTGACGGAGAAGACTACGTAAGTGAGCTACGTAGAAGAATGGACGCCATCCATAGCCAGGTTCGTGTTTCAATTCGAGGTGCCAGCGACCGGATGAAGGAAGCTTATGACGCTAATGCCAAAGACCAGAGGTATGACAACATTGATACCCGGTTTGGCTCTACGACCCAAAGAGGCGAAAAGGGCTGTCGCCTAAACTTCAATCATCCTGGGACGGGCCATATAAAGTTCTAGAGGCCATCAATCAGGATTCAGAAGGCACCACGCGGTAAAGCCCGAATTGTACATTTCAACCGCCTTGCAACTTATCATGGAAACAACCAAGATGCGGCGGTGCGGCAAATCCATCCAGAATCGGACATGACATTTGACCAATTTATGGCTCACCATGCTAATGGCCATAAGAGTCGGTATGGCGTGACATGTGAAGTACAGCAAGATCTGTTTACCACTTCACCAGAGTATGGCACACTGTGTGGTTCAAGACTTGCGAATGTCGAGAGGTATAGCAAAGGTCTTTCTTAGGAAGTTTGGAAGAGTGCACGAGATGCGACAAGCTAACCCGGAAGTCGGAGAAGTAC